TTTTATGTAACCCATTTTCCACGTATTTGAATCGTTATAAATATAATTAGTACCTATTGGGTATTAAAATATAGTTATATGAGTGGTGGTCAAATGATTTTTGTCAAGGGGATATGGCTRTTTTTTAACATACACTATTTGACTAATGATTATTAAAAATATAATTTATGGTAATCAGCTCTTAAATTAAACATTGAAAAAAAAGGTCGCGAGAGGATCAATCCCTCTCATCTCCCTGTTTGACTATCACTGATAATGATTAATACCATATTCGTTTGTCCTATATACACCTTTAATTTTAATGCTTAAGCGTGGTTTCTTTTTAGGGATATCGATTGTATAGAAGTTGTGTTGGTTTTGAATACCAAACAGGTAAAACTAAAACATGATTGGAGAATTTTCAACTAGGACAATTTTTATTGCGAGAGTATAGAACTCGATTATTAATTGAGATGTAATACGTCGTTTCTAGGTCGAATGTGATCAAATAACATATATCTACCAATTATATGAACAAATTCTTAAGACAATTGGACTTATATGTATATACCTTATAATATATAACTTTGAATAAATAATTATTTTGTAACTATGTAACCATTTATAATACTGTAAAACTGTATCTAACTAGTAAAATTGAAAACTAATAATTTATTATTTAAATAAAAGAAAAAATACAAATACCTACTGTTATATTGTGGTTACCTATTACAGAACTACAGAAGGTACCTACTACACTATATAGTTAACAGTTAGGGATAGTTACTTATGTCTATAAATGAATCTAAAGAATAAATATTTAAATTTTTATACATATCTATATTATACGTTAACAACGTGAAAAGTATTTTTACTTGTGGTATTGAATTAAACATTTCATTGGAAATTATTAGGTACTAGTACTTATAGAATATTTTTTAATTTATTTGCTTTGAACTTTATATTTTTGTTCAATGCAAATAGTTTATACTAAAAGTGTATTTATTACCACGAAGTAGCTGGTAGGTAGCTTTTTATTAGAATTTTATTTGATACAAACTCACTTGTAATCTTCATTCCACAATTTTATCATTTGGACGATTATTGGATTTAATTGCAAAATATTTTGCTCAAGATTTAATCTCGAATATTTAATTGATTCTTTCCACAAATGTGCAGTTTCTCGTAGTTCTTTTTTGATCGGGGTAGCCACAAACGAAAGGTCTACATGATCGTCATATAGATCACCAAACCCTATATGTATTATTGACTTTTTTGATGTTATTTCGTGTTCCTATAAATCCATTTAAGAATAATTAATACACTTGACAAATTTAAATAGGATAATGTTCTTAATTCTAAATTAAAAATACTATATTTGATTTTAAGAATATACTAATGTTAAAGAAGTATTAAATTGTAACCAACTGTTTATATTATATTAAGTTATAGTAATTTAAATAAGGAGATATACTAGCAGCAGTAGTATTGGAAATACATCATTTGAAAAAAAGACATTTAATCATATGGAAAAGTGCAATATTAGAGATTAAATAATTATTTTATATTTGCAAAAATGTCGCTATGAATTACCCTATAAATTAACATTAAATCAAAAATAATTAAATGTTATTATAGATATGTAATTGTATTACCTATATATATATATATATATATATAGATAATCCTTAAAACAGTGATATATAATAATAATAAGTACATTGCTAGTAAAAATCTGATAAAAATAAAACGATGACACTTAATGATAATTTGTAGCTTGGAGTTAAAATAATTATTATATCAGCGTAAGTGATATAATGAATATAATATAATATAATATAATCAATATAACGAGAGCAGTTTTACTCACAATAATAATATATTAATATATTATCAAACGTATCATTATTAATACATCTACTTACATTAATTAAATCTTCTGTTAGTTTCAATAAAAGTGGCGACGATTGATATTTTAATGGTAAACCACACACAATTCTATTCACTGTGTTCTGTTCGATCGGAGTGTAACTATTTGAATTGATTTGGACACCAAACTTAATAAAGTTATAATACCTGAGTAATGGGTTTTTGAATTTATCCTTTGGAACTACAGGCAAT